TCTGTCTGGGTTGCTTGACCACAGGGTAGATGTGAGGATTAAATGAAACAACTGAGTGAAAATGCTTTATAAACTGAAAGAGCTGTGCATGTATTATTATTACTACTAGTAGTAGTATTATATTACTTAAGCTAAATAAACCTTAGTGATAGCTCCCCTTTCTACTGGTTTTATTTTATTTTTAACATTGACAAGTGTTTGCATCCATCTGACACTGTGTTAAGCACAGCAAGAATTGTTTGGTTTACTCTTCACAACTTTAATAACATTAGTAGTACAATGTTAGCCACATTTTACAGGTGTTGGGAATAAGACTTGGAGCATTAAGATTATGCTTAGGCGCTAAGGGTTGTGATGGGAACTCAGCCTGACTCTCCAAAATTCAAACTCTTATTCACTACTTTCAGTTGACTCATTGTAACAAACACCCAGCATCACAGAAGAAGGTGATGGTTTAGAATAGGAGTTGGCCAACTCTTTCTGCAAAGGTCGAGATGTTAAATATTTTAGGCTTTGCATGCCACGTGTAGGTCTTTTGCAATTACTCAGCCCTGTCACAAACGCTGCCATTGACAATACATAAAGGAACGGGCGTGGCTATGTTCCAATAAAATGTTATTTACAGGAACAGGTGGCAGGATGGATTTGGCCTGTGGGCTACCGTTTGCTGATTCCTGGTCTAAAAAAATTCTGACCTGTCCAATAGGGTGGCTGTTTAGATTTAAATTAAAAATTAAGTCACTCAGTGGCATTAACCACATCTCAAATGTTCAGTAGACACACTGGCTAGTGCCTGCTGTATTGAACAACACAGAGAACATGTCCACCATCCCAGGGAGTTTCACTGCAGGGCCCTGGTCTAAGTCATCACTGAGGGTGGGGGCGAAACCTCTTGCAAGTAGCTGTAAGGACCTGGCATTTCTGAGTCCTGACTTTGCTAGTTCACCAGCTATACGACTCTTAGCAAATCATACCACCCACCAGAGCCTCAGTTACTGCACACATACTTTCCTCACTGTGTTGTCGTGGGAACTGAACAAGAAAACATGTGAAAAGCACTTTGTAATCTTAGGAGCTGCAAACACAAGTCATCATTAGGATTCTAAGTGGTACTTGAAACGTGAGAAAATGTATGGAGGCAGAATTTGTGTAGGTAGCTGGATTGAGAGAACCATATCTTCTTTTAAATAGCCCAATAAATGCTACGAGGATGTCAGAGAGTTACCAAAATCAGGAAATATTATTATTTGTACAGTATTCTAATTTTTGACCAGGAAAGATCTCAGTGGCCATTCATCTTTCAGAGCTTGGAATTGACTCCGTAATGCTTAACACCTTCAGGAAACAGATGCAACTGTCCAGATAGGAGCTGGGATGAAACTGGGTGGGTCTCAGTGGCCTTCCTGAATGAGACCAAAGGTTTATTCTTCTTTGTCAGACTCCAAGTTAAGGAGGATGGAGCCTTTTCCCGCTGCTTCCCCTTCATGGGGGACCCCTTTGAATTGCAGCCACTGGAGATCCCCACATGGATCAAGGACAAAGCTCAATTTTGCCACAGAGTGAAAGACCAGCCCTTGGTTTCACCATCCCTTAGGTTCCCCGTGCCATTTTCCTTTATCCTCCTGTTCCTAATCCCAGCTGTAAATCACCTTTCCAGGGAAATTCCTGCATGATATCACTTCCCTCCCCATCACTCGACAGTCTCCTCTGTCCTTCAGGACCCTAGGTGCCAGGCTACCCTCCAATTCTAGGCCATGTCGCTGTTGTCACTCATTGGAGTACACAGAGGGGAAGTTTGCTTCCTGTTTAGTGCTGGGTACAATCCTCCTGCTTTCTGTCAATTACTGGGAGTTACGTTTCATAGTCTTTCTTATAGCTCAGCGGTTCTCAACCTGTGGGTCGCGACCCCTTTGGCGGTCGAACGACCCTTTCACAGGGGTCGCCTAAGACCATCCTGCATATCAGATATTTACATTAAGATTCGTAACAGTAGTAACATTACAGTTATGAAGTAGCAACAAAAATAATTTTATGGTTGGGTCACAACATGAGGAACTGTATTTAAAGAGCCAGAAGGTTGAGAACCACTATTATAGCTCTTCTGAGCATCTTAGAACTTGTCTCATGCCTCTCTATCTTCTCTTCCTTCTCTCCCATTTCCTTTCACCTTTGTTTTTCTTGCTCCCAATGTACCCTAAGATCCCCTCTCTGCTCTCCAGCTACCCTTGCCTGTCAGGCTGGAGTGAAGGTTCCTGTTCTCAGACCACCAGCTGCAGATGGTGTACATTGGTCGAATCTTTAGAAAAGTAATTTGGGAATATTTTTCTAAGTCTTTAAAAATGTATATATTGTATTCCCAGTATTTCCACTTCCAAGGAAGTATCCTAAGTAAATTATAGAGATGCCCTGGAAATGACTAAATAAGGAAATTCTTTACTGTATTATTTATAATAGTAAAAAAAAAATAGAAAAAATCTAATGGTCCATAATAGTAAAAGATTTAAAAATCCATCACATTTAAAAATGGAAATACATATACCAAAATATTAACAGTGCTTTTGTTTGTATACCTCTGGGGTATCTCTGCTTATCCCTGGAGTACCAGTGATTTTTATTTTCTTTTGCCATTTTCTATTTTTTATAATGTGCATATATGGGGCGTCCCCCCAAAAAGTAATACTTTAATAGCTGATAGCTCAATTTTAAAAATGAAGTGTTTATTTTAATAGACACTTACTTTATAATTATTCCAAGTATATGTATACATTTTGGGGGGATACCCTATATATAATCAGAAAGAGGTCATACAAATAAAGGTTCACACCTCCCTAGCCTGGCTATTTTGTATTGCTCACTAATATTTCCATTCAAGGATTCAAAATATACATTTACAGGCTCAGACAACCCTTGAGTTAATCAGAGAAGTCCTTAGGGACAGCTACAGACAAGACCTTCCCAGATAGAGCTGAGCAGAGAAAGCCTAAAAGCTTACTCTGGGGTCCCTTCCAATTGATGGCCAGTTTTGGAAAGAGTGGGGTTAAGGCCAAACTCCCTGAAACAAGCCTGCTATCAGCAGAGAGAATATAGCTGCCAATTCTGCCATGGAGGCCCTCTTGTTGTCATCATTGCCCTTCAATGCTGAAGAAATGGCTCCCATGCAGCTACGTAACAAGACATCTCTGCAGATGAGGAGAATTGGGAAGGAACAACAGTTGACCTAGAAAAACAGTGGCTTTCTCTAAAATATTGATGCAGGTGAAGGTTTAATGAAGAAGTAGGTCAGGACTGAGTTCTTAAGAGCAGTTTCTGGGGTCCTATTTGGGGACTTTATTGTGTCAACAGGATTGAAATGATGAGATTTCCAAGTTCAGGGTTGGGGTTGACATTCTTCTCTGCAATTCTAATTTTGACCTTATGAATATTTATTGTGATAGGACCTGTGAGACATTAAAGGGGCCCAGTATCCGTTGAAAATAAGTCATCAAGACTCTAATCTCAATTTACAATAATACTTTGTTTTGCGCTTTCATTATCTTCACTTGTTAAAGATAAACAATTTTTAAAAATATATTGTTATTGACTTCAGAGAGGAAAGAAGTGGGAGAGAGAGAGATAGACATATCCACAATGAGAATCATTGACTGGCTGCCTCCTGTAGGCCCCACACTGGGGATCAAGCCCACAACCCAGGCATGTGCCCTGACTGGGAATTGAACCATGACCACCTGGTTCATAGGTCGATGCTCAAGCACTGAGCCACGCTGGCTGGGAAAGATATAAACTATTTAAAATGCTTTCCAGCGTAGAGGAAGCACAAATATTCATGTAAGTACACAAATGCATTTCTTAATACATGACAAAAATATATACTAATAAAAACAAACAGTTGCCCTGGCTGAGTGGTTCAATTGATTGGAGCATTGTCCTGTACACCAAAAGGTTGCAGATTCAATTCTGGTCAGGACATATACCCCTGAGTTGGGGGTTCGATCCATTTTTAAAATGAGGCAGCTTTGAGTGTACTAATATAAAATGGACTCCAAGATAGGCTATTAACAAGAAATAGTGTGTATAATATCACCTCATTTACATTTTAAAAGGCATATGTATCCTATATAATAAAAGGCTAATATGCAAATGACCAAATGGTGGAATGACCAGTCACTATGATGTGCACTGACCACCAGGGGGCAGACACTCAACGCAGGAGCTGCCCCCTGGTGGTCAGTGTGATCCCATAGGGGGAGTGCTGCTCAGCCAGAAGCCAGGCTCACGGCTGGTGAGCACAGCGGCAGTGGTGAGAGCCTCTCCCGCCTCCGTGGCTAAGGATGTCTGATTGATGGCTTAAGCCCACTAAGCCGTCAGTCGGACATCCCCCCAGGGCTCCAAGACTTTGAGAGGGTACAGGCCAGGCTGAGGGGACCCCCGCCCCCCCCAAGTGCATGAATTTCATGCACCAGGCCTCTAGTTTTCATATAAACATAGCTGCTTATTTATGCACAGATTCTCTGTGGAAGAATAAAGAAGAAACTAATAGATGTTGTGGTGAGGACATCTGGGGGCTAGAGATCAAGATGATATCGTAGACCTACTCCTTTCTGAATGGTCTTTTGAACCATAAGACACTTTTAGACTCTAGTTTCTAAAGTGGACATTTATTTTTTATTTGTTTATTTACATGTTTGCATGTGAGTGCACACAGAGCTACACAGCCACGATGGCTTTGGAATTTGGACCCTCACTGTTAAATCATGTATTGAGTCAGTCAACAAATAGTTACCCGGCCTCTCTCTCCCCATCGTGTGCAATCTACCGAGCTAGACAGCCTTCAGGCAGAACGGAATCAGTACAAGGACAGCAGGTGCTCCTTGGGGCCTGGAGAGATCACAGTGTTCTCCCTCTGACAGTATTTAGGGCAAGCCTAAGCTGTAGACCGAAGGCATAATCACAGCATCTGTGTTGATTGTGTGCCTTGCAGTTGGCTAAGGAAATTTACCGAAATGGATCACATCTTGGACAGATCAGATGATGAGGACAACATTTTCTTTGAAAATCCTCAAACTGACTCCCTTCAAGAGGCAGCTACTAAAAAACAGGTAAGGGAGAGACTTCAATGTCACGGTGGGGAAGAGAGGAACTTCTTATCTCCAAGCCGAAAGGCAATCTCCGAGGGTTTCCTTGTGGTACATCGGTGCAAGACCTCCAGAGCTTGCAACCAGGAGGGAGGCTTTGTCTCCTCTGAGGGCTGCTGTGAGCACTGCGGAGGCGTGCTAGCCGTCTGCAGAAAACTGTGCAGGACAAGTTACTCTGGTCCCTGGGATTTGTGACATTTTTCACCTTCGTGCAGATTACCACATGTAAAATCCCCCCTGCTCACAGGTTGTCTTCCAACAGAAGGCATCAGAAATATCTAGTTACTCTTAATTCAGTCTAAACCCTGCTCAGTCTTTGAAATTCAGTCACCCAGCTGACAAGGAGTGGGGGGAATTAAGACAAAGCCTGAGCTTGTCCTGGAAAGAGGTTATGCTTTCACTACCACTTAGATCAAAGCAAAGGCCCAGGCCCCCTCTATTATTGTTGAACAATATTTCCATAGATTCCCTGTGTGTGTTGGAGGGGGGGTGTCTATGATCTTGGGAAACATGAATTGAAGCGATCACTTTACCAATAGTTTCATCTGATTCTTTGGGGGCATCTCGTGCCTGGATTCCAGGGAAAGGCTGCTACCATTAGACCCGTTTTGCCACCACATCTCTCCTGCCTTCACGTGCCTTCCTGAGTGCTGTTAGTCAGTGAACTGTGACACCATCACTTGTTGACCCAGGACAGAATAAGTCTAATTAGAGAATAACATTATTCCCTGTGTACGAGTTTATCGAATAGTCCACACTCTCAGGCTATTCCTTACAAATTTCAAGTCAGGGCACAAGGTTTAGCAAAACGTGTTTAAATTGTTATGATTGTATTCTTCCTATTAATTTATTTACATGGAAAAATCTACAATTGCATAAATAAATCACATGCAGTTACATAATTAACACTTTGTATTTATAAATTAGCCTCTCTGCTGATAATAGGACAAATCTATGACTACTTGAGAAAGAAACATTTTTCTCTTATTCTCTGAAAGCAAACCAGAAGGTCTATACTTGGCATAAACTGACACTTTTTTGTTTTTATAAGGGAAGATCATAAGATTTAAAGGACAGGTTCAGAAAATGAACAGAGTTAATAGAAGTTAAAACACACACACACACACAATTGTTGGTTTAATTAATAAAATCGACTTTAGTCAAACTGCCAAAGCTGCCCTATCTAACCATCAAAGTACACCCCCCCCCCCAATATTTAGAAATGAATACTATTTTGCTCTGGTTTCACATTCCTGATCCCTCCCACTGTTCTACACAGTGTTGACTTTGGATGCCAGGTGAGTGAACAGACTTTCCTATTTCCTGCTTTTATCTGCATCTCTCACAAGCAAAATGTATTTGCCTACTTCTGGAGTCTGTTTATTCTAAAACTGCTTATTGAGCATCCGTTATGTGCTGGGCACTGTGAAGTGTGGGAGACATAGATAGAACCTCTTTCCCCTCAGTGAGCACTCATACTAGGAAGGGCTCAAACAAGGAAATAACAGCCATGTGCGACAGATCCATGCGAGGAGTCTCGGATGTGCTACAAAGTCATGGCAGGGGCCGTACAGGGAGATGGCCAGGAATATGACAACCGAGTTTTGAAGGATAAACTGGATGGGGAAAACATTTCAAAAAGATGGGACTACGCATGCAAAGACAGAGGGGCCAGAAAGAAATTGTGTTCTGAGAGAGGAAGGGTTCTGGGAAAGGAAAGGTATGATGGGCAAGTAGGTAGGCAGGACACTAAGATGTGGCGATAATGCAGGATGCAGGCTGGAAGCCAGGACACTGCTAGGCGTCAAGAACAGATGAGAACTGAAGGAAGGCACTGACCGGCAGCAGGATGCCATGAAGATGGGGGGAAAGGACACAGACTTAAAGGCAGGTGTTCTTGGGCTTGGACACCAAGTGGGTATGACATGGATAATAAAGAGAAAAAGGAATGTCTGCCAGGAAAATGCAAGGACCTCTTCCAGCATCTGGCAGAGGCATCTGGATGGATGAGGAGCCCATATGAGAGGATGGGGAACCTGGACAAGGTAGAGGGGAATACGATGAGTTCAGTTTTTTGCTTGCTGAAACTGAGGTGCCTATGGCACATCCAAATGGAGACATAGGAGCTCTTCAAAGAGCTGCCCATAAATAGAAAATAGTGCCCTGGGACATGTATCTCATGCAAGCACACTTTTAGTTTGTTATTATAACATATACACAGAATTCTTTATGTGTCTAATCCTGCAGATTTAAAAATATCTTTTACTTATATTTTCTGCCCTTTGACCCTTTTGTGGCACATTAACCATTCCAGTGGATTGATTACTAAAAGCAAGAAATATCGTCATAGATTATCGGACATAGAACTCTAGACATGATCCCGTCCAATTTTCTTATTCTAGAACAGAAAACAGCTTTAGAGGGTTAGGTGGATGGTTCAGCATCCACGGCTGTAAAACAAGGCTTAGAATTAAGATCCTCCAATTTCCAATCTTTCTCTACATCTCAGTGTATCTGCTGCTTTTGGCTATCTAATCAAACGGATTAGTGGGCCTGGCCGGGTGGCTCATTTGGTTGGAGCATCCTCTCACATACCAAACGGTGGCAGGTTTGATTCCCAGTCAAGGCAAGTACCTAGGTTGTGGGTTCAATCCCAGGTTGGGGCACATACAGGAGGCAACCCAATTGATTGTTTCTCCCTCTCTCTTTCTCTCCCTAAATCAATAAAAATTTATATTCAGGTGAGGATTTAAAAAAAAAAGATTTGATAGGAAGAAATTGAAATTGTAGGTGCCTTTTTTCCACGAAGAGGTAGTTAAATATAGTTGAGTCATATAATTCTTGGGAAATCTAGCCATGGTTTCTTCATCTATAAATGTGATAATGATCATCGTATCACTGATGTGGTGCCAGTGGGTTGTGAAAGTGACAATGATAGGGACTAGGTATTTCTTAATCTGAACTCAAGGCCTGGATATGATGAGAAGAGCCATGGTCTTGGAATCAGAAAAACAAATTCAAGTTCTGGTCCATACACTTACTAGCCATATGTATTGTTTTCCCATGTTTGCTGTAACAAATGACCACAATAAGCAATGTATTAAAAAAGTATTCTCTCACCCTAACCAGTTTGGCTCAGTGGATAGAGCATCGGCCTGAGGATTGAAGGGTCCCAGGTTCAATTCTGGTCAAGAGCATGTACCTTGGTTGCAGGGGGTGTGCAGGAGGCAGCTGGTTGATGTTTTTCTCTCATCGATGTTTCTAACTCTCTATCCCTCTCCCTTCCCCTCTGTAAAAAATCAATAAAACATATTTTTTTAAAAAAGTATTCTCTCAGAGTTCTGGAGGCCAGAATTCCGAAACCAAGGGGTCGCAGAGCCATGCCCCCTGGGAAGGCTCTAGGGGAGAACTCTTCCCTGACTTTCCCAGTGTTGGGTGGCCCCAGGCACTCCTTGGCTTGTGGATGCCTGTTTTCATGTGATCGTCTCTGTTGTGTTTGTGTTCTCTCTTCTGTCGCTCATTAGGACACTCATCATTGAATTTAGAGCCCACCCAGGTAATTAAAAAGGATCTCATCCCAAGATCCTTAACTTACATTTGCAAAGACTCTTTTACCAAATAAGGTCACATGACAGGGGCTTAAGACCGTAGACATAACTTTTTGAGGTGACTGCTTAGCCCACTACACCATACGACCTTGGGCAAATCACTAAATGTGAACAGGCGAGGGGATTTCAATACCTTCCTTTATCCACCTAAAGTCCATCATGAGAATTAAAAGAAATAACACACATGAAAGAAATTTGTAAAGAGCTATGTGAATGCTAGTTATTGTACTGACTTGGCCAGTAATTTATACAAAGATTTCAATAAAAGATTGATCTCCGCTCTAACCTTTTCTCCTTTCAGTCTGAAAATAGTTTTGCTGAAGCACAAGAATTTCAGACCAATCCTTTTCGAAGGGAAGGAGAAACATGTTACAGTGTAGTCACTAAAGATAAGAAATGTTCAGAGAGAAATCATTGTCAGTTGTGTGCGTGCACAGACTTGAAAGACCAGAAAATGCCTTAGATGTTTTTCTAGAACAAGGCAAAGAATAAAGAAACAAAGAAATAAATTTTGTAGGTCAAACTGACAGAGTAGGTTTTTCCCTCTAAACTCTTTATTATAAACAAAAACAAACAAAAAATCAACTTAGCCCTGGCCAGGTAGCTCAGTTGGTTAGAGTGTGGTCCCAATACACCAGGTTGTGGGTTCGATATCTGGTCAGGGCACATACAGGAGGCAACCAATGAGTACATAAATAAGTGGGACAAAAAATTGGTGGTTTTCTCTTTCTCTCTCTTTTTCTCCCTATCTCTCTCTCTATAATTAATCAATAATTTTTAAAAACTTAAAATATATATATTGATTTCTCATATTCTCATGCTTATATTTTAAAATTGTTGCCATTTGTCACATTTGCTTTATCTTTATATATGTAAATAGATGGAATATTTTGAGCCATTTAAAAGTAGGTCAAAGCATGACACTTCATTTCTGTTTATTTCAGATAGCATCACTAAAAACACTTTCTTCTATACAAGCAAAATGTCATTATCACTTAGAAAAATTAGCAATAATTCTACACAGTAATCTAATAGTCTCAATTCTCTAAATATTCCAATTCTCTAATTAACATCCAAATGTCTTTTGTGGCTGTATTTTTTTTAAAACCAGTATCCAAACAAGATCTATGCAATGCATTTGGTTGTTATATCTCTTTAGACTCTCTTAATATAGAACAGTCCCACCCCCTTTTTCTTTTCCTTGACACTGACTTTTTTTTTTGAAGAGACCAGTCCTCTTATTTGAGTGCAGTGCTAGAGTCCATGGAAAAATGGAATTCTATTACTCATCAGCACTGAAAAGAGCTGTGTATGTGGACGCCGAGGTTCTACATGTCCCTGCCCCAGCCTTCCTCTGTCAACGGAGCAGGAGAGCATGTCTTACAAATGCACTAGAAGGCTCCGGCCTCAGAGAAGGCTACTAGGATGTGCTTGCCCCCAGAGAAGGGGCCTGGGTAGGCTAGAGGGACCACCACCTGTTGTGATAACCCTTCTGTTCTGCTTTGCTACTTTCATGATCACTATCAGGATATGTTGGAGCTGGAGGCTGAGCATGATCAGGACCTGCAGAGTAAACAGGATGAGCAAGAAACACATGATGCTCAATGTGAGGACCCTCAACTCTCCACATCTGTGCAGTTTTCAGAGAACATCCCTAAACTGTAAGCTTCGACATAAGCAAAAGGAAACGTGTAATATGTTTTGTGGAGGGGAAAATGAACTTTAGCAGAGAACTTAGGGAAAGCTTTGGAGATTTAAAATACATACTTGAATTAAACCATGAAGCACTCATGTGCCCAAGTAACTACCTACACGTTCAGCAAGAATGCAGAATAAAGACATTTCTAAGGATATAGGTAGAGCCATATCACTCTCAGGTAATTTTCTAGATATGGAAAGTATTCTAATTATCATTAAAATATATTGTTAGGCCTTTGTAGACCCTTCCCCTATTGTATACCTCTCCATCCCGCTGAGCTGCCACCACTATCCTGAAATCAATACTTAACATTCACTCTATACAGGGAAATTAAAAAGATATCTATTGTTTTTACTAAATATAAAAATAGGCTTTATTTTCTCCATTCTTGAAAAGATCTGTTATAATGGGTATCAAATACATTCCAAACTTCTTTCTTGAGGCCTAACTGCCTCTGGGGCCTATTTTGGTGACAGAAAATGAATAAGCAAACCAACTTACCCTTTAAAAGAAGAGGGTTTGGACCATGTGAGATGTTTCCCATCGTTTTTACCTTAAAACTGATTATAATCATATTTTTGCAGGAGTCAGGAGAACATATTTTTCCAGCTAAACCACTGGAATACACAGATGGGTCTACAAGTGAAAGAACTCGGAGATGATCACATGGGCTGGATGAAGAAAATTAACAGTATTATACAAAAAGTAACCCTATCAGAAAGCACAGTGAAGAGGTAATTGTAGAGTGCTGAGGTTGGTCAGAAAATGATTAAAATTTTCATAGCTTCAGAAATTTTAGAAACTTGGGGCTTAAGGTGGTAAAGTTCTTAGGAAAGTCTCTAGGATGAGAAGTATAAAGTCTTATGTTAGAAGTTAATGTCACACCTGTCAGAATGGCTATCATCAATAAATCAACAAACAACAACAGTTGGGGAGGATGTGGAGAAAAAGGAACCCTCATGTACAATTGGTGGGAATGCAGACTGGTGCAGCTACTGGGGAAAGCAGTATGGAGTTACCTCAAAAAATTAAAAATTAAACTGCCATAGGACCCAGCGATTCCACTTCTGGGAATATATCCAAAGAAACCCGAAACACTAATTCAAAAGAATATATGCACCCCTATGTTCATTGCAGCATTATTTACAATAGCCAAGATTTGGAAGCAGCCCAAGTGCCCATCAGTAGACGAGTGGATAAAAAAGCTGTGGCACATTTACACAATGGAATACTCCTTAGCTGTAAAAAAGAAATCTTACCTTTTGCAACAGCATGGATGAACCTGGAGAGTACCAGTATTAAGCTAAGTGAAATAAACCAGTCAAAGGAAGACAAGTACCATATTTCACTTATATGTGGAATCTAATGAATAAAACAAATTGGGGAACAAAATAGAAACAGAGTCACAGATACAGAGAACAGACTGACAGTTGTCAGAGGGGAGGTGGGCTGGGTGAAAAAGGTGAAGGGATTATGAAAAAAAAAAAAGAAAGAAAGAAAAGAAAACTCCCTGGCCAGAAAGTTCAGTTGGTTGGAGCATCATCCTGTACATCCTGATGAGTGAACATCATCCTGTACACTTTTGACTTCACCAAAAGGTTTTGATCTGACCCCTGGTGAAGTCATGTACTGAAGGCAACTGATGGACGTTTCTCTCTCACATCAATCTCTCTCTCTCTCTCTCTCTCTCTCTCTCTCTCTCTCATAATATATATATATATATATATATATATAGAATATATAATATATATGATATCCTATATATATATATATATATATATATATATTCCTCCTTGGGTAAGGATTAAAAAATTGCACAAAAAAAAATCCCCCAAACATTGAGGAAATAGGGCTGAGGGGAGGTCGAAGAGGGCAAAAAGAGGATAAATGGTGATGGAAGGAGACTTTACTTGGGGTGGTTAATGCGCAATAAAATATACAGATGATGTATTATAGAATTGTACACCCGAAATCTATAATTTTATTAACCAACTAGAGGCCCAGTGCATGAATTCATGCACAGATGGGGTCCCTCAGCCTGGCTGGCGATGAGGGGCTGATCAGGGCTGTCTCGCCCAGTCCCGATCGGGGCAATGGGGGCTGGCTGGCCAGGGAGGGACCCTGGGAGGGCTCCAGGGCATGTCTGGTCCTCTCGCCCAGTTCCGATCGGCTGGACCCCAGCAGCAAGCTAACCTACCAGTTGGAGCGTCTGTCCCCTGGTGGTCAGTGTGCATCATAGCGACTGGTTGAGTGGTCAACTGAACAGTTGACTGGTTGGACACTTAGCATACTATGCTTTTATTATATAGGATGTCACCCTAATAAGTTTAATAAAAAATAAAACAGTGAACATATAAAAAATTAAAATGTATTGCTTTTTCTAAAAATACCAAAGTTAATATCACAAAATCTCAAAGCCTATCCAAAGTTATCTGCATCTTCTCTTAAGGGAATGACTTCCCTTATAGGTTCTTTAAATTGTAGACCCATCAGTGTATTCCAGAAGTCATGCTAATAGGTATCAAAGGGGGGTTTACAGGTCCCCAATGATCCTTGAGTTTTATCAAGTACTATCTAAAAGAATCCCACCAGTTCAGCATGAAAAAATATTAAATTGTATTTGTTTAATGAATATATAAACTTAAGTGCAAAGTTTTAAGATGAAACAGAAAAAATAAAATTGTTATCTATATAATCACTGGTATAGAGAGAATGGACTTTGGAGTTAGAAGGACACAGGTTTGAATCCTGACATTGGCATTTCTTGGATAAGTTAATCAGCCTTTTCTGACTTTTGACTTTTATTGTCTATAAAAAAGGGACTGATGACAGCCATTTCATTGGTTTCTTGTGGGAATTAAATAAACTACTGTAGGTAAAGAATTTAACACAGTGTCTGATGCACAATAAACAATAAATGCAAGTTATTCTTAGAAATAAATTCCTCTGGTCTTCTGAACCATCCTACCACATTCTAAATGCTTTCCCACTGCAGGGCTACTCTTCCTGTAAGCATTTTCTCACCTTTCAGTTAAATATCTTCCCAAGGAGTTAAGCATTACCATGCCTTTCACTTAAATATCTCTTCCTAGCAAGCCTTCTTCTGACAATCCTACCCCAAATAGCTCTTTTTCTTCCAAAACACTAATATTTGCTTTTTAAAAGAGTTTGTGGTTTTTTCTTCAAATCCTATACATTAATTTTAATTACTTTAAACATTAAAGCATAATTTATATACAGTAAAATTATGTTTTTTAAAAAATATTTTAATTTTATATATAGAGAGAGAAACACCTCTCGGCTGCCTCCTGCATACCCCCTACCAGCGATCAAGCCTGAAACCTGGTCATGTGACCTGACCTGGGAATGGAACTGGTAATCTTTTGGTGCATGGGACAACGCCCAACCAACCGAGCCACACTGGCCAGAGCAAAATTATGTTTTTATTGCAAGTTTTGAAAAATGCATACAGTTATACAGCCACCACAGTGACATAGAACACTTTCACCACTCATTACATCTCATGCCTTTTGGGTTAACCACTCTCCCCTGCCTAAGCTGCTGGTGAACACTGATCTGCTCTCAATCCCTACAGTTTTGCCTTTCCCAGTCTGTCACATAAATGAAATTGTACTGTATGCAACCTTTTGAGTTTATCTTCTTTCACTTAGTCTAATACATTTGAGATTCACCTATTTTGTTGCATGTATCAGCAGTTTGTTTCTTTTTGATGCTGGATAGTATTCCATTATGCAAATATATCACAGTTTATCCATTCACTAATTGAAGCACATTTAGTGTATTTTTTGGCAATAAAGACACACAGATTTTTGGCTATTCAATTTTAAGAATAATATATTTTTGTTTTTCCATGTAGATTTTAGAATCAGCTTGTCAACTCTGTTGTGATTTTTTAAAAAACTGCCATTAATAAATTTTGGAAGAAATAACATTTTATCATATTGACTCCTTCACTTAATGAATAGAGTATATCACTATATTTATTTAGGTCTTTGATTCCTTCTAACAGTGTTGCATAGTGTTCATTGTAGAAATATGAAATATTTTTTATTTCTTTAGGTTTATGCCTATGTATTCATGCTTTTGGTACTACTGTAAATGGTACTTTAAAATTTTCAACTCCTAATAGTTAATTGTTGTTATATAGAGTTGGTTTTTGTGTATTAACCTGTCTTGTGACTTTAATAAACTCATTTATTATCTCCAGTAGTTTTTGTAGGTTATTTGGGATTTTCCACATAGAAAGCCATATCATGAGCAAATAGAGACAGCTTTATATCTTCCTTTCCAATCTATATGCCTTTTACTTCTTCTTGTTGCCTAGTTGTATTGGCTAGAACCTCTCTAGTACAATGTTGAATAAGTGGAGAGATAGCAGCTAGTGGACATACTTACCTTGTTTTGTTGATGTTAGATGCTTTTAAAAAAATATATTTTATTGATTTTTTACAGAGAGGAAGGGAGAGGGATAGAGAGTTAGAAACATCGATGAGAGAGAAACATCAATCAGCTGCCTCCCGCACACTCCCCACTGGGGATGTGCCTGCAACCAAGGTATATGCCCTTGACAGGAATCGAACCTGGGACCTTTCAATCCACAGGCCAACGCTTTATCCACTGAGCCCAACTAGTCAGGGCTAGATGCTTTTTTAAAGATATCCTATCTCAAATTGAGAAAATTTCTTATGTTCCTAATTTACTGAGATTTTTTTAACATCAGAATAATCTGATTTTTTTCAATTCTATGAATGATCATTTTGTATTTGTTTATAGTCTCTTGACATGGTGTGTTATAATGACTAATTTTTGAATGCTGAATCAGCCTTGAATTCACAGAATAAAGCTCATTTGGTCATAATATGTTATCCTTTTTATATATTGTTGGATTCACTTCACTAAAGTGAAATTTTTAGAAGTATGTTAATGGGAGATATTGGTCCATGCTTTTATTTTCTTGTAATGTGTAGTGTTAGTAGAAGGATACTTGTCTCATAGGAAAAACTTGGATGTTTTCCTACCTGTTTGTGTGGAACTTGCATTCCTTATATGTTTAGTTGAATTCACCAGGAAGTCATATTTCCTGGATATTTCATTGTGGTAAGATTTTTAACTCCTTTATGCTACCTCTTTATGGCCACAGCCATTCATTCTCCCAATTCCTGGCAACAACAAATCTGTTTTCTATAATTATATTATTTCATAAACATTACATAAATCAAATCATGCAATATGTATCCCTTTGAGATTAGTTTTTTCACTTGGCACAATTTCTTTGAGGTTCACTCAAATTGTTGCATATATCAACAGTTCCTTCCTTTCCATTACTGAATAGTAGTCTGTGATATATATATATATATATATATTCACAAAAATTTGTGCACTCGGCGGGGTGCACTCGGGGGGGGGGCATCCCTCAGCCTGGCCTGTGCCCTCTCGCAGTCTGGGACCCCTCGGGAGATGACCACTTGCTGGCTTAGGCCTGCTCCCTGGGGGATTGGGCCTAAGATGGCAATCAGACATCCCTCTGGCAGTCCGGCAGCCCTCGAGGGATGTCCACTTGCCAGTGGGGAGCAGACCTAAGCTGCAGTCGGACATCCTTAGCACTGCTGAGGAGGCAGGAGAGGCTCCCACCACCACCGCTGTACTGGTAGCCGTCAGCCTGGCTTGTGGCTGAGCAGAGCTCCCCCGTGTGGGAGTGCACTGACCACCAGAGGGCAGCTCCTGCATTGAGCATCTGCCCCCTGGTGGTCAGTGTGTGTCATAGTGACTAGTCATTCCCAGTCTTTCTGCTGTTAGGGTCAGTTTGCATATTACCCTTTTACTATATAGGATAGAGGCCTGGTGCATGGGTGGGGGCCGGCTGGTTTGCCCTGAAGGGTGTCATATTACCCTTTTACTATATAGGATAGAGGCCTGGTGCACGGGTGGGGGCTGGCTGGTTTGCCCTGAAGGGTGTCCCAGATCAGGGTGGGGGTCCCCACTGGGGTGCCTGGCAAGCCTAGGTGAGGGGATGATGGCTGTTTGCAGCTGGTCACACCCCCTTCAGGGTGGGGGTCCCCCCTGGGGTGCCTGGCCAGTCTGGGTGAGGGGCTGAGGGCCGTTTTCAGTCTGGCGGCGACTGAAGCTCCCAGCCTCTCCTTTTTTCTTTTTCTTTTTATTCTGGGATTTATTTACCTTCTATAGCTGTCACTGGAGCTGAGAGCAGGCTCCAGCTCTGAGGCCATGGCTGGCTGAAAGCAGGTATCTGGGTTTGTTTAGCTTCTGTAATTGAAACATTGTTGCTTTTGGAGCTGTTGCTTCAGGAGCTCAGAGCCGGGCCGCGGCAGGCGGGGAACCTTGGCTTCCTCCATCACTGGAGCAAGCAAGCCTCATGTTCACTTCAGCTGCGTGGCTGCCGGCCACCATCTTGGTTGGCAGTTAATTTGCATATCGCCCTGATTGGCCAATGGGAAGCGTAGCAGAGGTATGGTTAATTACCCTATTTGTCTATTATTAGATAGGATATATATATATATATATATATATATATAGAGAGAGAGAGAGAGAGAGAGAGAGAGAGTTTGTTTAATCATTCACCCACTGTTTAATCATTCACCCACCAAAAGTCAATTGCACAATTTCTAGTTTTGGGCTATTATGAAAAAAGCTACTTTAAACATTTATGTACAACTTCCTATATGAAAATAAATCTGAATTTCTCAGTTGTCCCAGAGTGAAATCACTGGGTCATAGGGTAAGTCTGTTTTTAGTTTAATTTTGACAGAAACTGCCAAACTATTTTCCAGATTGTCCATACCATTTTACATTCCCTCCCACCACCAATGTATGAGTGATCCAAATTCTCCACATCCATTTGGTGTTATTACTGTTTTCCATCTTAGCTATCTGATAAGTTACACGTGTAGTGATATCGCACTGTAGTTTTAAATTTGCAAATCTTTCATGACTAATGGTGTTAAAAATCCTTTCATGTGTTTTTTGCCATCTATACATTTTTTTGGTGAAATTTCTGTGCGTGTCTTTTGTTCATTTTCTAATTGGAGAGTTTTTTTAAAAATATATTTTTATTGATTTCAGAGAGGAAGGGAGAGAGAGATAGAAACATCAATGATGAGAGAGAATCATGGATCGGCTGCCTCCTGCACACCCCCTACTGGGGATCAAGCCCGCAACCGGGAATCAACCATGATCTCTTGGTTTATAGGTCAACACTCAACCACTGACTGAGCCACACTGGCTGGGCAGGTCTTCCATTTCTTTGCTATTATCTAAATTATTTAGAGTATTGTTGTTTTTTACTTTTTTTGAATTGCATTTATGTCTCCCTATTCCAACACAAGCACTATCCAAGAGTCTTCTATTATAGGAATTGGATTTAATTTTTTTTAAAGATTAAAATTGATCCTTCTAAAAAGATCAAAAAGAGATTATGAGATTTTTCTTAATCCACAGACTTAGCCCATCTCCTGGTCTGTTTGCAGCTTGTTAAGTGAGGTGATGTCTTTGGAGGGCCAAATTGAAAAGCTGGAGTTACACCAGGGCCGTGACCCTGACAAGGGGGAAAACATCAAGGTAAGCTGGAGGCTTGGGAAGGACAACAGGGAGGCTGTGGGGACCCTGCCATCGCTTGTATTGCTTAACAGGGTCATAACAAGAATTAAAACCCATCTTCTGTCACGAGAAGAATGGGATCTGGTGGTCAGTTCTGAGCTCCTTTCACCTGTTACACTTCTATTCTCTGATGAAAGAAAAAGGCCAGATTTTAAAAATTCTATCTAGAAAATCGGTCAGACAAATAAGATAGATTTATATCTTGATGCCATCTTAAGATAAAGATGAATACCTTATGGAAAAACTCTTCATCCTTGTATCCCACCACCTAACAGTACAGAGAAGATACGAAATAAGTATTTGTGAAGAACTGCATCCTTAGAGTGTACGAGATATAGTTGCACCTGTCTTTGCTTCCTTCATGAAGAGTTCTCTGTTGGTTTTCACTGTCTCCTAAGTTTTCCTGTTGTTTTTGTCTCCTTACGTTTCTTAGAGAAAGGTTTGATTTTCCCTTTTATAATGATTCATAAAATATTGCAAGAAAGGTAGTGATCGACTCTGGAAAATAATTAGACTTTAGAGCCCTGACTGATAACTTTTTCTGCTCTACTAAACTTCAGGCCTTTGAAGAAAAGTCTCTAAAAAAAGAAAAAGTCTGTGTCTAGCTCCCCCCCCCCCCACCACCACCTTTTTTTTTTTTTTACTGAAATTGCCAGCCCCAGCTTTAGCTTAAGCCAAAGAGTTTAAATTAAGTGGATTTTGGAAGAAGTAAAGGAGAAATAGCTCTTTTATTGTAAGAAGGTAATGTAATTTAAACCCTCACATATGAAAAGCCATCTACAGATTAGCACAGATTTATTACCAAGGAAAAAATTACTTTTAACCGTGACTCGGTCCAATGTTTTAAGGTAGCAACCTCATTTTGTGCTAGTTGAAAAGTCAAGAATGTTTTTCACTGTCCTTGGGTTTTGGAAATTGCAAACTGTGAAAAGAGGGAAGAGGACAAAGGTCAAGAACTATTCTGCCTTAGAAAATTCCGTCAAAAGTCAGCTGTACTACAGGAATGTGGATTTCAGCAGGAGTCAGGGCTAGGGAGGGATGAATATCAAAGGAATGAGGAGGAAGATAAACAAGCACAAAAATAAATGAAAGTGCGATTTAAAAAAACAAAACAAATAAGAGCTTGCGGATACTTTGAAAGGGCAAGACATCACAGATATGTATGAAGATTCTCTCTGGAGTTACACAGCTGCGTATGCACTTAAAAATATAGTCTCAAACTTAAAAATTAAAAACAGCACAAATATCCACCAAGTGACGTGTGGATAAATTGTAACACATGTTGTAAAATGGAATACTACTAAGCAATAAAAAGGAATGGCCTTCCTATTCATCCAACCACATGAATGGATCTCAAGTGCATTATGCTAAGTGAAAAAAGCCAGACTCAGAAGATTCCATAATTCATGATTCCATTTGTGTAACACTGAAAAGGGCAAAAATAGAAACAAAAAATAGATTAGTAATTGCTAGAGTCAAGTGGGTAAGAGGAGTAGGAGATCGACAAAAAGGCACAGGAAATTTGGGGTGTGATGGACATATTCCAGACCTTGTTATGGGGGTGATTATATGACACTGTGCATTGGTCAAAATTCATAGAATTGCACACTTTATAAAAGGTGAGTTTTACTGTATATAAATTATAACCTCAATAAACATGACTTTTAAAAAATGGACACAGGTTCTGTCCTCAATAAGTCTAATGGTTGATGGGAAAGCCTGCGTAAAAACAAATGCAGTGGTTTAATGAGTAAGAAACTTTAAATATAATTGTTACAGATGCAAAGTCAGTAGGACTGGTTCTAGGTTTACTCTAATGAAGGGAAAAGTGAGCATTGTTAGAAACAGATATGGGAACAGTAAACCAAGTTTGGGAAAATTAAAGGAGAAATAAGTTAATGAAGTTTTAAATATCACATGAATTGGCTTATTTATCTCTCATGAAGAAATGGTATAACTCAGCAAGCCATAAAAGAGGAGAAGGGAAATTTGGTAAAAGCATTTAAACACACACACACACACACACACACACCAAAAGACCTTTAAACTAAGAATAGTTTAAATCTACCTTTGAGGCAGATTTGGGGTGTTGCCTCCTGTTGAGTCCCCAAGTCCACACATTTTCTGAAGTCTCCATAAGAATATCTAGACTTTCATTCTGAGACTTACTCCCATCTCAGTTATCTTTGATAGTACTGTGTAAATATATTTTCTATGTAAACAAACCAGGGCACCAAGTAAAATATGATGATTATATCACAGCTATTTTCTAAATAATTAAATGCCACAGTTCAGGGGTAGGTAATGAACAAACTTGGTAAAGAAGGGTGTAGAGTATACATTCTCTATAGCTGTTTGAGGGCAAATACTTACTGATATCCAATCAGCACAGTGCCTAGCTCAGTAGTCTCTTACATAGGATATGGCCAATAATATCTTGATTTAATTTAATATTGATTTTGGATATCAGCCCCCAGAATAATAAGGAAAAAAATGGCTTCTATTAAATCTCAAACTTTTGATCATGAATTAGCTTTCTTCTGAAAATCATAATTTGTTTTGTCTCAATTTCATAAATCATTCTTTATAACTTTTGTTTTATACCCTTTGTTTTAAAGGAGAAGATTGTGGAAATTAAAAAGCAACTAGGAGAAATGGATAACAAATTTGTCCAGGTAATAATAAAAAATGGCTTTATAATTGAGGAAGAAAAACAGTTCTCCAAAGAAATCTCAGATTTAGAGAATATTAGTGATGGAATCTAAAATTTGATGAAAGATAGAATTTTAAACCTAGAAGAGAACTTAGGGTCTTATAATCTATGCCCTCATTTTCAGAAGAGAAAAGCATGACTCAGAAATATGAAGTGATCTGCCCATATTTCCAGATGAAAAGAATCAGTCTTGCTCTTGCTCTCCCATAAATAAATATATGTATATATTCATATGTATGTATATATTTTAAATATATGTATATATTTTGAATATATGTATATGTTGATGTATATGTATATATTTTGAATATATATGAATATATGTATTTATTTTAATATATACATGTACATGTATTTATATATCTAAATATACCAAAATATTTATATTTAAATGTATATATTTTTTTTCTTAACAAAACTAATACATGGTTACTTTAATAAGTAAAACATTATAGAAATTTTTGATATTAAAAATGAAAAATAATCCTACTCACTCAACAATAAACATGGTGAACATTATTTTTTTAATTCTCACCCGAGGACATGTTCTTTACTTGCCTTGGCAAGGGCTTCTTTAATAATCAATTTCTATTTTAAAATAAATAAATAAATTTTAAAATTGAATTTATTGGGGTGGCATTGGTTAATAAAATTATACAGGTTTCAAGTGTACAATTCTACAATATATCATCTGCATATTGTATGGTGTGTTTACCACTCCAAGTCAATAAATTTCTAGAAATGGCACCTCTATCTAGAACCCATCTTCCTTGAATCCCAAAATACTGTTCTTCCTGCTATAGCTCTGCTCTTCAAGTCATGCTGTAAATCTATTATGGGATGATTATTTAAAACCTTTAAAATGTTTTACTCCTGACGTATGTGCAATTGGCATTTATGTCTTAGAAGGTGATGGTTTGCTTTCGGCTTGTGTCTTGATCTTAAGATAGAAACCAACCAGAGCCGTGTGTTACCTCTACCTGGCAACCTCTAGGAGACAGGGCAGGGAAAGAGGAAATACAGCTTTTATGGTTCTTTTGCTAAACCATAAGGCCCAAATATTCAAACTAACATAATGAGGACTTAACATGTATATAGTATAAATTTTTAAATATTTAAATTTCATATAATTTTCTTTTTTTCCTCATAATTACACTATGTTTCTCTAACTAGTGGCCTGGTGGATGGTTTTTAAGGAGCAAAGGAAGAGCAATAAGAGAAAAAGACGATTTATTTTAAGCAGTTGTTAATATAAATTTACACTTCTAAAACATTAAAGATAATTGTATTAATCTTTTGGTTATTCCTCCTGCAATTTATCATGATTACACTATGAATTTACTCCAGGGACCAAGGATTTTACTGAGTAAAAATAATTTTTGTTAAAGCTACTTGATAATTAAGTGGCATCAAAATGAGTCAGACTTTATTGTAGAATAAATATAATTTCTATTTTACCCCAAATTGTGGGTATCTTTTCAGGTTGATGCTTGTAATGAAGCTCATGAATTAAAGGAGAAACTCGTTGCAAAAATAGAGGTAAGATTTCACTGTTACATGAGTTCAAATAATGGTAAGATAAAATGAATCAAATATAAGTACAGAGGCAATCCTTTCCCTAGAAGTGGAGAATGTACCGCATACTGATCTCTCTCTACCCTTATTGCTGTCCTCTTCCCCTCCTAGCCTTCTGCTTTGGGCCAACAGAACATCTCGCACCCCTGGGCTGCTTCCACGTCTCCTCCATCTGGAGCTTACCCTCTATGTATACATATTACCCATTCTTCAAGGCTCAGCTCACATGTCATCTCTTTTAGACCTTCCCTAATCTTCCTTACCCAGAAAAATGACTCAATATTGAACTCCTCCCACAAGATCTTATACACTGAGGTAAGTGTGAATGAATGGGTGAATGAAACAATGAATAAATGAACCAACCTGTCACCTGCTCAGAGGTACCTGAGGACCCCACTTTCTAGAGTAGATGCCCACCACCAAGACTTAACTACTCTGTCTCATCACCTTGTTTATTTTGTCTTTGGCATGTATCTTAATCTATAACGTCTAATGTGTATATGTGTTTAGCATGTAATTCTTTGTCTAATTTGCTTTAAAAAGCCTCCATGCAATACAATGCACATTCCTTGTCTATTTTGTTAGCCATTGCATCCTAGAACAGTGCCTGGTAGGAATCACCAAAAAAAATGTGTCCTACATAGATGAACAAATTGGATAGATAAATTCAGTACAAGGATAATTAACTTTCTACATGAATAGTCCAGCAAAGATCAACATGTGGGTTTTGTTTAATTTTATACCCATGGTGCTAACTTACTCTGTGATCGTGTCTCTTTCTAATAGGTGAGAATGTCTGCCAATGACCTCCTCAAGTGATTCGATGTGGGCCCCTGAGGTGTTCTGGGGAAAAGCACTCTGCATCATCTACAATAAGACTGGCAGATACCTAGAATCATTTTTTAAAATATATTTTTATTGATTTCAGAGAGGAAGGGAGAGGGAAAGAGAGATAGAAACATCAATGATGAGAGAGAATCATTTATTGGTCCACACTGAAGATCGACCCGCAACCCGGGCATGTGCCCTGACCGGAATCAAACAGTGACTTCCTGGTTCATAGGTTGATGCTCAGCCACTGAGCCACACTGGCCAAGCTAGAATCATTTTTTAAAAGATGATAGTTGATTGTTCTTCTTTCCAGAACTTCTGCAAGGATATGACTGTGATGAATAAAAGACTGGGGATGTACCCAATGAGAGAAGAGCACACAGACTCTCGGAGTCCTAAAGACACGGGTAGGGAAGAAATGGAGCGTCTGCTTCTTCAGGCTCCCCCGACCCCTCCAGAGCAGAACTTCCCTCCTCGCAGTACCTTGTGGTGAGTCAGAGAAAGGAGCTGTGGGGGCTGGACAGGCCCTCGTGTGTATGAACAATAGTAAGATTAAGCTTCAAGTGTTAATGAAGTGTTGTTTCATCTCCTTTTATAAATTATTTCTGTACTTTAAAAGTCATAGTATTTTGATTTTTAGATATAGATCAATTGCATTAGATACACACACACACATATATATATACATATACATATATATTTCTTATTGCTTTAGATAACTATATGTATAAAATCTTAAAGGATGGTGTCTGCAGAGTGTGATGCAGCCACCTCCACCAGAGAAGCATACCTGCTAAGCAGACTTGAAAACCTCTGCTTGCTGAACAGGATGCCTCTCCCGTGTACAGTATTGAAGACATACACAATGGCAAATTCTGACTCTTTGAACTTCTTTCTAGAGATGCCACACCATCACATATACCCTGAGCATCTATACTTTTTAAAAATATATATGATGAACGTCTTTTATATTTCAAGTCCCCAAATGATCAAGATTTCTGCCTTTAGTAGCCCATGGAGTATTAGGAGACAGATTTAAAATAATTTAATTGCAATAATATGCTGTGAGCCCTATGTCAGAATTACATGCAAGGTACAGTGCACACAAAAGAGGGAGCTGAAGATTCTTCTGGTTTGGTGGTTGGGGATAAAGAATCAGAAGTAGAGCCTGGCCAGTGTGGTTCAATGGTTGAGCATCGACCTAAGAACCAAGAAGTCATGGTTCAATTCCCAGTCAGGGCACATGCCCGGGTTGCAGGCTCAGTCTTCAGTGTGGGGCGTGCAGGAGGCAGCAGATTGGTGATTCTCTCTCATCATTGATGTTTCTATCTCTCTGTCTCTCTCCCTTCCTCTCTGAAATCAATAAAAACATTTTTTTAAAAGATGTTCATCATGTTCAACAAAAATTAGTTAAGTGAGGAGTAATGTCAATGAAAATGGTGGAATAAAGACCCCCCAAATTTCCTCCTCTATAAAGTCAACAAGAGAGCTGGAAAAAAATGGTCAGAACAATTTTTTTCAGAAACCTGTAAATTAAGGATCCCAGTATCCAGAATATATAAAGAACTCTTACAATCCAAAAACAAAAAGACAAACAACCCAATTTCCTAAATGAACAAAGGAGTTGAATAGGCATTTCTGCAAAGAAGATACACAAATAGCCAACAAGCACATAAAAAGATGTTCAACATCATTGGTCATTTGGGAAATGCAAATAAAAGTCATAAGATACCTCTTTACTACACCACTAAGTATAGTTAAAGAGACAGACAATAACAAGCATGTGGAGAATTTAAAACCCTTAGGTATTACTAGTGGGATTGTAAAAGGGTGCAGTCACTTTGGAAACAACTTGGCAGTTCCTAAAAATGTTAAGGGAGCTGCCGTATGACCCACTCCTAGGTATGCACCCAAAAGAACTGAATATATATGCTCACAAAACACCTGTACATGAATGTCCACAGCAGCATTTTCATAATAGTTAACAAGTAGAAACAATACAAATATTCAGTAATCAATGAATAGGTAAATAAAATGTGGGATTTTTCAGCCACAAAAGAGAATAAACTATGATATATGCTATAATATAGATGACCCTTGAAAATGTTATGCTAAGTGAAAGAAGTCAGACACAAAAGGACACACACTATATGAATCTATTCATATGAAATGTTCAAAATAGGAAAATCCATATAAATAGAACATAGATTAGTGGTTGGCAGGCCTGGGGGTAATGGGAAATAGAAAGCAACTGTTCATGGGTACAGGTTTTCTTTTTGGGGTGATAAAAACACCCTGAAATTACATAGTAGTGATGGTTGAACAAGCTTATGGATAAACTAAAAGCCATGGAATTGTTCTCTTTAATAAACGTGTGAAGCAATTATTTGTAGAACTACCAAGAGATAGCCAGTGGTGATAATGCCGAGAAACTTGACTCAGATTTACAGAATCCACTGAGTGAGGTCACGAAATAGACCCATAGTTAGCTTGAGCTGCGCGCTAGAGTTTCTCTTCTGAAATGTATGAAACTGGCTTATCTGTGACATTTCTTTTCTTCTTCGTGTTTTTCTGGCTTTTCCAGATCTTCTACCCTAATCATGTATTGCATTTATAATTAGTAAATAATAATGCAAGGAGTGAAAAGCAAATAAATAAACTACATCATAGTTACAGCCCAGGAGGAGGAGTCCTCAGACTTGGAAAAGCTTCTATTACTTTATAAGGGTAATTCTGATGCCAGGACAAAAATGGCGATAGAGAGGCCTGAGTTCCATTTGCCACATTGTATTTTGTGTCCTGAGGAAAATCTAACTGCCCCGTGCCTTTATTTCCTCCCAAATAGGCATCATATAAACCTCCTAAATGAGGTAAAGATGGCAATCATCTGTGAGAAGACCATTTCAGAGGAAAGAGCCCCACAATATGGAGGGTTTCATTGTTTCATGACTATGGAATGTTAGGATTCCAGAATCAGTCCTGAAATGAACTTAAGTGCTCAACTATTTTGCAGATGTCAACTGAGGTCAAGAGAAGTTCAGTTACTTACTCGAAGTTATAGAGCTACCTGGGTGGAGGAGCCAGGAGTCACGTCAGTGTGGTTTTCTTCAGAATGTTCTTTTTTTTTCCATATTAATTTTTTTTATTTTTTTATTTTTTAATATATTTTTTTATTGCTTAAATTATTACAAAGAGTATTACATATTTCTCCTTTTTCCCCCCCGCCCTTGACAATCCCCTGGCCTCCCCTACCCCCCAGTGTCTTATGTCCATTGGTTATGCTTATATGCATGCATACAAGTCCTTTGGTTGATCTCTTACCACCCCCCTGCCCCCCCACCCTCCCCAGCCTTCCTGCTGTAGTTTGACAGTCTGTTCGAGGCAACTCTGCCTCTGTATCTATTATTGTTCAAAAGTTTATAATGGTCTCTATTATCCATGAATGAGTGAGATTATGTGGTATTTTTCCTTCATTGACTGGCTTATTTCACTTAGCATAATGCTCTCCAGTTCCATCCATGCTGTTGCAAATGGTTAGAGTTCCTTCTTTTTTACAGCAGTATAGTATTCCATCGTGTAGATGTACCACAGTTTTCTAATCCATTCATCTACTGATGGGCACTTAGGCTGTTTCCAAATCTTAGCTATGGTGAATTGTGCTGCTATGAACATAGGGGTGCATATATCCTTTCTGATTGGTGTTTTTGGTTTCTTGGGATATATTCCTAGAAGTGGGATCACAGAATGTTCTTAACACATGTTTTCTTTCCTTGTAGGAAACGTGCACTGAGGATTTTCATCACATTTTATGCCCTCACCTTCACTGTACTTTCATGTTACATATTATTTTTTGATGCCACGTTTATCTTTGAAAGCGTGCTCCCTACAATGCTTGGGCGCCGCAGAACGTGGGAACTACGGGAGATTATTGTGCCTTTCTTAAATTTGGAAGTGGAAGACTTGTTACCCTCCTAAAGATACAGAAGTTGCTGTTACACTACTGACTTTCTCCCCAATAAAATTCTGGCTGTTCTTGTGTTATGGTGGTTAACCTGTTTTTTAAAAAATACTATAGGGTGTTTGGCAAAGGACATGGTAGTCATGTAGCAATTGGTTGATCACAGACAGAAAAAAACGAAAGCAGTTTATCTCTACCCTTAAACGCATAACGATTCCTCAAATCATTCCACACATTGATTAAAACATTTACTTCAAACCACTAACCTCTCTCCTCCTCCAACAGTGAGGACACTGAGACTATCTAGTATTAGCTTCCTCGGTTATTTCACCCATTTGACCTCTAATGTCTCAGAAAAGAAAGCACAGAATTCCTCTCCATTGTTTCCCATTTTACTTAAATTGGGTTGGAGGCATACTTTGGGTGTATGGACATTATTTAGTTTTGCTCCCTAACATTCATTTATGGTTTTGGTAACAGCACCCTCATTTTGCTTTGAAAGAAGTATCTTTCCCCAGTGAACATAATTCTAGGTGGTCTTTCAGTCAATGTCCCCGTTGCCCTTTGAAGAAGAGTTAGAAATATGTTGAATCAGAAAATCTCTAAGAATGAGAATCTTGAGAATCATACAAAGAAGGGAAATGATTGGAACTTAAATTTGGTGAACTAGTCCATATCTTTTTCTGCTTAAGCTAGCCAGAGTTGGTTTTGTTGCTTATAATCAAAGGAAGTCTAATTGATGCAGTAGTTTTGAATGTAAGACTGGAGCATTTTTAGCCCTAACTTTGTAGGTAATGAGGACATAGTAACCTTTATTCTCAATATGAAAAATAGTTGCAATTGAACTGTGCAAGATTAATAGAACCATAAAAAATAAATTGTGGTAGGAGGGCAGATGGAGATGAAAGATCAGTTAAATGGCCATTCAGTGGTCCAGATGAGCTAAAGGGGTGGGAATGGGGATGAAAAGGAGATGATGGGTGAAGAATATCTAAGGGTAGATTTTCTATTTGCTTGTGTAATGGATGTGAGGGTGGACGAGTGGTGACAGGGAAATTATGGAACACCGTTCCAATTCTCACATTTGAATAGATCTTGAAGGATGGATAATAATTTCATGGCAGAGAGGAAGAAAAGGCATTTCAGAGAAAAGACACATCATGAATAAAACAGAAGCCATGAATATAAGGCAGTCAAGAAAGTTGGTGGAGCATATTGTTCAATATGCCACTTTGTACATCCCTTAAAAACAAACACTGTGTCCCATTCATTTTTTGGTCTCTGGTATAAGGGATTCCCAAATAGTGGTCCTTTGATTGCATGCATCAGAATCACTTGGGGAGTTTTTTACATTAGGGATTTCTGACTCCAATCCCAGATATTTAGATCCAATAGTGCTAGTATGAGGTCCATGAATTTTATTTTTTTTAAAAAGTCTCTCCATCTGAATCTAATACAAATGCAAATTTTGGCACCACGTCTTAGTACATTTTAGGACAATGCAATGCACATAACAGGTACTCAAGAAATACCTGTTGAAGTAAATTAAATTATGTGTTCTTATCTTTGTGAGATAAGAACATCATCACCTCATCCAGTGCTCATTCAATATTTGTTCAATAATTTCCATCATAGCCATTTTTCCAGTGCCATCTTCTCACTCCCTTGAAGTAATCTTCAACTCCTTTATGATCTTTTTATTTTAACCTTCCAGAAATAATCAGGTCTTTCCAATTCTTCCACAGCAATTATTCCCATATCAGCCATTATTCTTTGGATTTATAATCTTTCCATTCTGATAGGCCTTATCATACAAATGTCTTACTGCTTGGGAAAGCCACCCTATTGTTTCAACTTTCCTAGACTTCTATCCTAGATAATAAAAGTGTAATATGCAAATCAACTGAACAGAGAAACAACCGGTCTCTATGATGTATACTGACCACCAGGGGGCAGACGCTCAATGCAGGAGCTGCCCCTGGTGGTCAGTGTGCTCCCACAGGGGGAGTACTGCTCAGCCAAAAGCCAGGCTCACACTGGCGAGTGCAGCTGTGGTGGCGGGAGCCTCTCCCGCCTCCACTGCAGGCGGGTGGTAAGGTGCCAGGGGTCCCAGACTGTGAGAGGGATGTCTAACTGCCAGCTTAGGCCTGATCCCCGGGGGCACCTGTGAGGGGTCCCAGACTGTGAGAAGGCACAGGCCGGGCTGAGGGACTCCTCTCCCAGTTCATGAATTTTGTTCACCGGGCCTCTAGTTATATATACAATTGTAGAAAAGAATCAGTGCCAAATGCCACTTGTAGCCTGATCATCTACAGCCAGGAATCTATATCCGTTGCTAGAAATGTAAAGTTTCCTTGTGAGTGGTTCTCAAGCCGGGATGTTTAACAGAATTCCACAAAGAGACATTTAATTATAATTATACATTTGTCTGCACATCTCCTCCAGAAATTTGGACTCTAATATCTTCTGTTTTAATAGTTTCCCCTGACAATGTTTAGGGCTCAAAGTGTAATAACTGCTATGCAATGTAATGTGCAAAAGCTACCTGAGATTACAATTTGGCTGAGATCCCATACAAGGCTACCAAGAAGTGACTCACTTTGGAGGGGAGGAGGAGGCTGGGGGGTGAGTGAGGGGATTTCCAGGACATACACAAAGGGAAAAGCCAGAGTTCTGGCAACAATGAGTAACATATTCAAAAAGTCTACTGGCAGTGAAAGGATATGCTGACAGACAGATTTTTTTAAAGTCACAGCTAGACTTGTTTACAGGTAAAGGGACTATTCAGACCAAGTTTTAGACAGAGCTTGGTGTGTTTTTTAAAATCATCTTCAGATATTGCTGGATACAGTATTGGCTGATTTATTTGTAAAACCAAAAAAGAGCTATTGAGTTTAAATAGGTCAAATAAAGCTCAAAGTATTGCAATAATCATATAACACTAGGAAATAAGGTAGGGAACCTGATTCTTTGAAAGAATACATTAATTGTTTAGTAAATTTCGAGACATATTTTATTAGGATTTTAATTAAGACAATAATTTCCCCTGGAGAATCAATATCCTTAAAGTGGGAGTGATACTATTTCGTATCAATTTATTTTCAATTTGTAGTTTCTTGGGCTGGAAAGCTGGATATCACAATGTCCTGCTCTATTCCAAGAGGGAAACATTTAATATTAAGTTGATATACATGTCCACATGTGGTAATTCAGCTAACTACTTTGGTTGGTCGGGTCTTATTTCAGATCTCTTAAATGCCATATTCAATTGAGGCAATGGCTATATTCAACATCACTTACTAAAAATGTCAGAATCACTTTACAAATATGGTCTTGGTTTTAGACTAGGAGGAAAGAAAATGAGTGGTCACAAAAATCTCCATTTGTCATTTTTTTTGAGTGAAGACAGCTATGATGTAGTGAAAAGAGCTTTAAACTTGGATTCAAAGGTGAGTTGATCTGCTGCCAACTGTGCACTTAGTGGGGTCACCAATCTCCCCTCCCAACAGGGGAGCCACGCTCTCCTTCCCCAGCTGCCAATAGTGCTGACTGCTGAGAGTTCACAGCTAGATCTTCCGTTGGACCTGCTTTGGTTAAGGAGACCTGCTTCACCTAAGGTTCCTCTCCTTTCTCAATGGTAACCTGCATTCAATGACAGATCCAGGCCAGGGTACATTTCTAAAGGGCCATCCCAGACTCAGAGCTCCTCATAGGATTGGTTAAAGCCCCTAGTGCAACTGTGTCCCAATTCAGCTTCTCCCTCTGCCTAGTCCTGTTCCCAACATCCCCTTCACAGGGGATGATCTCAAGAGTTTTCCCAATAAACGTACACTCAAGCCTTCAATTCAATGTCCATTTCCTGGGAAACTTGACCTACCATCCCTGTGGAAATAAATGAAAACTAACCAAATGAGAACAAGCAAAGGCTATTTATTCTGAGTTCGCTGTAGCAAGGGAGTCAGCCACCATCACTGGTGACTTAACACAGATTCAAGGAAGGCAGAGAAGTAGGAAAGTTTTATAGCAGAAAAGGAGAGAGGCTTCCGGTACGCCCTGATTGGAGGCTGTTGGCATAGGAAAAATATAGGTGGACTAACTAGAAGCAGGAAATTCTATATAATAGTTAGGGGAGGCATATTTGACTTTTTCTGGTTGGTCCTAGCTTGGAAGGGGGACAAAAATTAGGGAAGCTGTCAGTTATTAATCACATTTTTGTTTACATGTATAAATTGAGGGAAATGTGCCTCAAGAGATAGTTGGATTAATAGGTTGGGTATTATTATTATTATCATTATTATTAATTACCATGGACAATATTTTTAACAAGTAAAATCACCTAACTAAGAACTTTGGATCTGGCCTGATAGGAAAGAAATGAATTTGAATGTATTTCCTGATATACTATATCTTTGAAGTAAAAATCAGTGAACCATAAATTTTGATTCCTTTCTTTCTCATGTTCCACTCTGGTAGAAAACCCTGTGGGTTCTACCTTAAAACATATGCAGAATTCAACTACTTCTCACCACTCCCTGATACCAACTACTCTACAGGACACCATTATTACAAAAGTCTACCAATTCTCTCTTTGATTCTCCCTATTCCATCCTTGCCCACGTATAATTCAGCAATCAGAGTGATAGTGCTATATTGTCAAATCACATCACCCTTCTACTCTAAAACCCTTCAATGGTTTCTCATTTTTTGTAGAGTAAAAGCCAAAGTCCTTACAATGGCTTTCAACTATATGTTTGGCCCCACTTCCTTTGATCATATCACTCTGCTACACTGTCCACCTTGCTATTCCTGGAGCACATCAGGCACACTCTTACCTCAAGGGTTTTGCCCTGGCTGGCCCCTCTGCCTGGCAGTCTCTTCCCCTGCATATCCACGTGGCTCACTCCCACAGTGCCTGCAAATCTTAGCTTAAATGTCATCTTCTTGGCTATAATAAGAAAGACAGATAATAACAAGTGTTGGTGAGGATGTGAAGAAATTGGAACCTTAATATAGTGCT